AATTCCGATCGGAATCCATTCCGAACAAGTCCATAATAGGTCCCCTGTTCCTTCTTCCTTATATTTTTCATTGTGCGGAGGCCTTTACGGAATTATACTCAAGACAATCAACGCATGCGCAACAATGATAGCTGGGGAATGAGGTAAAAATTACAAAAGTGAGAGAGAGAGGAAATTCACTAGCGTATCTACGATTTTATTTATCAAAATCTAGTAAAATCTGTTCATTTTTGTAATTTTCACTTTGTTTCAAAATACACACAATCGACCTCCAGAACTGCCTATCGACAAATTTTCGATTAATTCCAATGAATATTATAGTTAGGATAACGCACGAGACTTTCGTGAAATATACATGCTCGATGCGTGCGCATCACGTGACTATCATGCAGATACGTGTGTATATATATATAGCAACAAAGGGCGCTAATATTAATAAATTACTTTACGCTTCTTGCTATTGTTCAAGTCAACGATAAGTCAAATGCATCAAATGTTCTATTGAACGCATGCCATTAATATTAATATTTCTATTATTTATCGTGTTTCTCGCGTGGTTCGCACATAAACGAGAAATTCTCGTCGTTTCATATTCGTGTGACTAACGTAGTTAGTAGTATTTTCCTGATCGAAGTTGTACTACGTCGTAAGGTGCACGTGGCTGCACCACGCTTCGTCCGAAGACGTTGGAAAGAGAGAGAGAAACGGTGCAGATGGTGCAGAAGGTGTAGCTGCGGAATGGAAATGCGCAAGACAGGAAGCAGGTGCGTGCCGAACGTCACTGCGCACGCGGGCGAGTTTCTTGTCGCGTTAGCGTCTCTATTACCGCGTTTATCATCGTTCCATGACCCATCAGATGGCCCTGGTCAACTTTAAAACGTAAGTTGTTCATTTCTGCTATTTTACGCCCGTACAACGTGCCGCCCGCGTGCAAAATGGCCCGACGTGCACGCGGAACGTTCTCGATTATTCGGTGTCGTTCGCAGCCCACCGCGATCGCTCCCTCGGCGCGTGCGTTGCTAAAATCATCGCTCTTTGTTAGGCCTGACGTTCGCCCGTGCGTGTTATTCCCTGATGATAATCACGGGAGTATATACGACAGCGGGGCTCGCTGCGTCTCGCCGATCGTGTTTGCCGCGATCGCCCGCGGTTAGATTCGCATAAATTGCAGGCACGGATTTAACACAAACGCTATGTACGCATGTATTTGCACTTTGCGTGCCTACCGAGAATGCGCGGTATCGATATATGCCATGGTACTCGTCTTCTTTTTGTTTTTCTAATTCAGCATGGTTCGCTTAATCGCGTTCTCGAACGTACATATTTTTTATCTGGCACGTCGAAAATTATCTTTTTCTCGTACAGACCGGCCGACTCGTCCGGGTGATAGAGCGTCAATTCGCGGGAGGGCGGACATTATGACGTTTTACAAAGTTTTCGTTAACCTTTGGTCATCACGCGAAAGATGCGGGGTCTTCAGCGACGAAAATACCCGACGGATATTTTATCGATTTAAATTAAAGTTTATTTTTTTTACGAAGGATATATGATCTCTCGTACAATTTTCATGTCTTTTATATCGCGCTTTTATTTATTTTAAGGGAATGCCGTGCAAATTAATTGCAATCTTTTCTAGGTGCATGACATTTGCTAAATAATAATAACGAAACGGCCATTTCTTATGTGCGTCAAAATGTGTCGCGACTTAATGGTGTGAGAAGTTTGACTGTGCATAAATTACTCCTCTACTTTCCCCGCCATTGCGACATCGAGCGCGATTTAACGATTCGAAGTTCGGACAGTGGTCGATTAAGTTTTCATTCAAAGTAAGATCGAATGACACGAGAGCCACATGTACGGGACACTCGCGGCAGCAGCAGTTTGAGATGCATGGCTGACCTCGATTGTCGATACCTCTAGGCCACCCTGCAGCTAGCGAAAATTTCCAAGAGATGTCTTGGGGACGTCTTAAAGACGTTTTAATGACATCTAAAAGACGTCTGAAGTCTTTTAGATGTTTTTGGAACGTCTTTTGGAAGCTTTCGCTAGAGGTTGCCAGATATATGCCGCCGTTGTGCGCGTGAAACGTGCGTGTAGCGAGAAGTCACGGCTTGGAGGTTAAATACGCGCGAATGATGTCGCGATGCAGCGAGGGTGACTTTTTTTTTCGCGCTTAATAATATGGTTGGTATAGTTGGTCGGGATTCGGGACTGTGTTACGGGTATCAAAGGAGGAGGACATCGATCAGCGGAATTCGGAGCAACTCCGTCGAATTGCGTATACGTTCGTTAGCAACATTGGGAAACTCGTTGGTATAAGGAGTGGCGCGAACTTTCTCAGCGAGATTGCCGTTCGCCGATAACTTCGCGTGTAAAGAATTACTTATTAATCGCCCTATATAGCGAGAAGCAGGCGGGGAAACAGCGGTATTCCACCTTCGATTTATATCGATGTATCGCACACTCTACTCGATTTCGCTTCTCATTGGTCTGCGCGACATTCGCGGATAAAAATATCCTAGACAGCCACGCATGTCCAAAATCGGAATGAAAGACGTCTTAAAGACATCGTTAGACATCCTACGAAATGATTTCTTAAAGACGTTTTATGTCCCGATTTTGGACATGGTACTGGCTGGGACGCAACGTTGCTCCTCTCCCTTTCTTTAACGACTCTCGAGATGTAAGCTGTGTTTTCATATTCACTGCTAGTACTGAAAATCTATAGTTTACGTCACGTATACTATAAATTTTCAGCACTGACAGTGAATATGGGAACATAGCCGTAAGTCGGAATTTTGGCTCCCGAAGGCGAATGGAAAAGCGAATTTTCCCGTCGAATGTCGAGGTGCAGCTCGAAAATCGTTAAAGGGAGACGTTGAGAACCTTGATTTTTTGTCCGCGAGTGTAAACTCGGTGTCTTCGACGCCCTCTGCTTCCGACTCGGCTGTTTCCGTCTCGACACGTATCTAGGGCTGCGGTCCACTTGACGCTACAAATTCTTTGGAGCGTTCTTCTTCTCCTTCTTTCTTCATTGAAAGAAAAGAGAAGAGGAATGCTTCGAAGCATTTGTAGCGTCAAGTGGACCGCAGCCTAGATAATCAGTGTGTAGCGGACCGTAGCTTAAAAAAAAAATCTAAAACTACATCTGTATTGGTTAACTTAATATTGCACAGCCTGCTCTATCCCAAGGTTCAATTTCTTTCGTACGCGTTAAGCCCTTTGCACAATGCCAGGCAACAGGCAATAGGAACAGGAAATAACCAAAAAATCGTTAATTACAACCTAAAAGATTCGAATGCTATGATTGGTTGGCAACAGGCAATAGACACAGAATTTCCAACGTGACGGAAACTCTGTGTCTATTGCCTGTGTCACTGTTTATTCTGCATTTATACATGATTTCTGATTTCTATTCCCTGTTCTTATTGCCTGTTGCCTGGCATTGTGCAAGGGGCTTTAAACGTGGTTAAAACGTGTCTGAATTCACGGCGAAAATACGGGCGGGTTGCCCACAGCGTACTATCGATCGTATTTACGTAGTTGACGGTAAGCGAGCGAATTCGAAAGCTAATGTAACTCAATTTTTTTTAACTGAAAATTATATAAAGTCCCGTCGAAACGCGCCACTGGCGCGTTTTCGTGAATGATATTAAATAAAATTATCGACCGCACGGTTAACGAGTACACGAGAGACCGCGCTCTTGCTGGAAGGGGGAGAGGAAGAGAGAGAGAGAGAGAGAGAGAGAGAGAGAGAGAGAGAGAGAGAGAGA